TAAATCTAAAAGGAGGGGGTTTGGAAGCACTTCCATGGGTCACCTTACCAGACCACAAGCTGCAGAAAAACAGAGGCTCCTTTGTTCGGGATCTCACCCTCTGTTTCTCTTTATCTGGCAATTTATTTGAATGCTTTGTAATAAATTGAGTCCTGTTTGTCATTTTAGCAAATTAATTGAACCTGAGGAGGAGGTCGTGGGAACCTTTGATTTACAGTCACTGTAGTCAGAAGCACAGGTAACAATATGGGCACGTGGCTGGCACCTGAAGTCTGAGGAGGTATTTGTGGGAACTGCCCATCTAGATCTGGTTGGTCAAAAGCACAGGTGGCTGCCTTGGCTTGTGGCTGGCATCGAAAGAGGACAGTGGACTTGGGAAGCTGAGTCTTTTCCCTTTGCAATCTGAAGCTATCTCTGTGAAGGGTTAGGAAACATGGATGGAGCAAGGAAAACTCATGCTCTGCAAAACAAAATCGAGCTGCTCATGACCGAGAATTACTTGTTGGTATGGGGAAACCTCGTTGGAAATGTGTCAGGAAACTCTCCATAGTATCCAGAGGAACTGAAATTAGAATCCTTGCACTCCCAGATTTAATGCAACATGATTCACAAGAGTCAGGATATGGAAACAACTTCAGTGTCTGTCAACAGTTGAATTGTTAAAGAAGATGTCAAACACACACACACACACACACAGAGAGAGAGAGGAATGTTATTCAATCATGACAGAGAAGGAAATTCTGTCTTTTGTGATAACATGGATGGAACTTTTTTTTTTTAAAGATTTATTTATTTATTTATTTATACAAGCACTGGGTACAGTCAGAAGCACAGGAGGGTGAGAGAATTCACCAGAGACAGAGCGGGGAGCAGAGCAGGCAGACTGACAAAATACACTGCTGAGGGGAGCAGTGGGCATGGCAGGAGAGGTCTGCGCTCCATGTGGGACCCTCGCTGGTGGCCAGGGATCGAACCGGCGCTGCAAAAGCTGCAGGCAGCTTCGCAGCCCAGTGCTCAACCGCTGCCCACAGGGGAGGCCCAACATGGATGGATCTTGAGAGCATTATGCTAAATTAAATAAGTTAGAGAAAGACAAATACTGTATGATCTCTCTTATATGTGGCATCGAAAAAAGTCAAACTCAGAGAAAGAGAGTGCTGGTTACCAGGGGTTGGAGGGTGGGGAAAATGGGGACGTGTTGGTCACAGAGTACAAGTCTCTGGCTATAAGACTAACAAGTTCTGGGATTTCATGCACAGCATGATGACTACAGCTAATAATACTCTATCATATACTTGAATGTTGCTAGGGGAGTAGATCTTAAATGTTCTCATCACAAAAAAGAAATAGAAACCATGTGGTATGATAGAGGTATTAGATAGTCCTATGGTGATAATCATTTTATAATATATAAATGTATCAAACAACACATTATACACCTTAAACGTAACAATGTTATGTGTCCATTACAGTTCAGTAAAGCTGGGTTCCAAAAAAACCTGTTTAGGAGGGTGAAGAACATTTTAAAGAAAACCGCAGAAGTACAAGAGAAGGCATTTTAAATGTTTAACATCAACGAAGGGCGTATCTAGTATGTACAAGGAACTTCTACCAATCAGCAACCACAACGCAAAGGTAAGACCTCCAATAGAAAAAACAACGCCAAGGCATGTAACAATTTCCAAGACAGATACTAAGAAACATATGAAGAGATGTTCAAACTTATTAATATCTAGAGAAATACAAATTAAAAGAACTATAATATATTATTTACACCTACGAGATTATCATACCCTGGAGAACTGGATCATGCCAGTGTGGGCAGGAATGAAGGGACAGAGCAACTCCATGCCCAGCGGGTGACAGCAACCTTTCGGGAATGCCATCTGGTGCTCCTTATTTAAGTATCACTAAATTCTAAGACTAGAAGTCTGAATCCCTGGGCAATATCCCTGAGCAATCTTGTCCTCACCGCGGACACAGCTGAGGACTTATATTGTTTGTTTGGAGGCGGCCTGGCTCTCTGAGACCAGAGAATAAACACTGTGAAGGGCTGGGTAATAGGGACGGATCAAGGAAAACACATGCTTCGCAAAACAGGAAAAATACAATGACCTGTACAACCAATAACATTTACATTAAATTTTCAATTAATAAGCTTTATTTTTTTAATAAATTTTATTTTTATATTCCCCATACAATTTCAACCCCCCCCATTCTGATCCCAGTCCCTCCCCTCCTGCCCCCCACCCCCTAAAAAGTGTCTCTGGTTGATAGTTTTTTGTTGATTTTGATTTTCACTTTCTTACAGTTATTCATTTTCCTGGTCCCTTATTTAAGTTTTCTAGATTCCTGCTATGAGTGAGACCATCCGGTATTTTTTAGAGAAGTGTTAGGCTTGCAGGAAATTGATGAGATAGTTCAGAATTCCCACATACTCTCTCCTTGGCTCACAGTTCCTTGCATTAGTGTGGTGTGTTTGTTACATTTCTCGAGCTAATGTTGACACATTATTATTGGCTGAAGTTGATAGTTTACAGTAGGGTTTACTCTTTATTTTGCACAGTCCGCTGGGTCTTGACAAATGTATAATGACATGTATCCAGCATTACAATGTCTTACAGAATAATTTCAGAGCCCTAAAATTTCCCCTCCCTATGAAACTCTGGCAACCAGAGTTTTATCTTTTTGCATTCTCTAGAGTTTAAATTTTTTAAATTGGATTAAAGGACACATTATACAAAACTTACCATCTTAACCATTTTAAGTGTACAGCTCAGTAGTGTTAAGTACATTCACATTGTCACGCAACTGATCTCCAGAATTTTTTCATCTTGCAAATCTACAACTGTACTCTTTAGGCAATGACTCCCTTTCCTTCTCCCCCCGGTCTCTGGTAACCACCTCTACTTTCTGTTTCTATGAGTTAGACCACCTAAGATACCTCATGAAAGTGGACTCATAGAGTATTTATTTGTCTTTTTGTGACTTGTTTATTTCACTTAGTGTAACGTCCTCAACATTAATTCATGTTGCAGCATGTACAGGATTGCCTTCATTTTTAAGGCTGAGTGGTATCCCACTGTATTTATAGACCACATTTTGTTCATCCATCCATCCATCCATCCATCCATCCATCCATCCATCCATCCATCCATCCACTGTGAATAGCTCTGCTATGAATATGAATGGATGTTTCTCTACTGTCTTGGCTTTTCCAGAAGCCCATATAGTTGGAATCATAGGCATTTAACCTACCCCCATGTCTTCTTATAGCGTGATAGCCCATGTCTGTTTATTACAGAATAATATTCTATTGTGTGGATGTACCAGATTTTTTATTTATCAGTTCACTTTTGGAGAGACTTCCTGGTTGCTTCCAGTTTTCAGCAATTATGACTAAAACTACCATAGACATTATTATGCAGGTTTAAGGGTGGGTGTAAGTTCTCAATTAATTTGGGTTAAGACCTAGAAGCACAATTCTTGGGCCATATGGTAACCCTATATTTAACTTTGCAAGAAACTGTCAAATTCTTCTAATGTGGTTGTAGCATTTTGCATTTCTACCAGCGATGAGTAAGAGCTCCTGTTGACTCTTCACCAGTATTTGGTATTGTCAGTTTGGATTTCAGCCATCCTAATAGGTATGTAAAGGCATCCCACTGTTTTTTTAAAAGATTTATTTATTTATACATACAAGAGCTGGGGTACAGGCCAGAGATGTGGGGGGCGGGGAGTGAGAGGATTCACCAGAGACAGAGTGGGGAACAGAACAGGCAGATTGACTGAAGTACACTGCTGAGGGGAGCAGCGGGCAAGAGAGGAAAGGTCTGCTTCGCCGTGTGGGTAGCTCCCTGGCTGGCCGGGGATCGAACTCATGCTGCAGAGGCTGCGATTGCTTCATAGTGTGGTGCTTAACCCCTTGCGCCACCAGGGAGGCCCCATCCAACTGTTTTACTTAGCAATTCTCCAATGACATATGATGTGTGGTATTTCTCATATGCTTATTTGCCATCTGTACATCTTCGGTGATTAATATTCTTTAGGAGTCAATGGACTCAAGATTCTATGCATTTCCTTGCTATCTTTTGTGTCAATGGCCAGAGCCCCTGCGTGTCAGTTTCTAAGTTCCTAACAGGTTAATGATTTGGGATCTGTTGGTGCCGAGGGCTGGAGGTCTGTAAGGGCCAGAAATGGTGTTCTGTTTCTTTTTTTTTTTTCTTTATAAACCACTTAACATATATTTACTTTAGTAAATGATCCGTTATCCAAAACCAAATCAAAAGAAAATAGTAAATGAAGAGTCTGGACATCTTAGACAAGATTTGACTCTAGAGCTTCAGAAAGAGGTGGAAACTTTTTCTGAAGATATTTTTCTTTCCTTTTTCTCTAAACTTATCTTCCTTGCTTTGATGTGGGTTTGTTTCTCAAGTCTCAGTGTGACAAAACTTTCCACAGAGGGTGTCAAAGAAAGTAATTTCCTATTATATCTTCTATTTAGGTACCAAGGTTGAGGCCACTGCATGAACTGGTACCAGATGATTCTTTCAAAGATGTCTGTTCTCCAAGTACCAGGCCTAGCTTTTTGTTGAGCAGTCTGAAGAAGTCTTACAGCCTCTTCTCTTTCCAGGACGATTTTATCTAATATACTCATGGAACCTACTACCTTTTCTTACCACTCTAAACCTGGCATTGGCAAACTCTGCCTCCTAGTCTCCTGCTCTAAAGTGAGGAGCATGTTCCTGTTTTCCCCCTCCAATCGGATTCCTGCTGAGTGCTGAAAACCTCTCACACCTTCTGACATTTCAGCTGGAAATTACTCTGTAACAAAACTGTGTTTCCTTTGACATAAGCTTAATGTTCACATGATACCAGTTGGAGCCCTGAATCCTGTTCTTCTGAGCACCTGCATTCCCTTTCACGAGTGGATCGAGACACCTGCAGACACCTCCACAGGCATCTTCACTGACAGGAGGGAAACGCCAGATGGCACCTAAGCTGCCAGCCCGATTTGTAGGCCCCAAAGGAAAACAGTCTCCCTGGAGAGGGATGAGTGCTTTCCCTGTACCCTCAGGCAATGCCTGGGCGCTTTATAGCAAAAGCCCCCAGAGTCAGGTTGAGGGAGACCTGTCGCTTTCCTTCAGGAGCACATACCAAAGTTCATGTAAATCTTCTTTATGTTTGTTCCTTAATAGCTGACACATCCAGGTAGCTCCAGATTTCACTTTTATTTCCTCCTAATTCTTTGGGTCGTTAAAAAATTCTTCCAGTCCTTTCCTTGACAACATGGCATGCAGTCATTTACACCGGGTAAAATATGTCACCTTTGTCATATTCTTAAGCCATAGACTAAGAGAAAACTTGCAACTTGTGCCAGCAGGGGCCTGAAGACTTATAAGGGACCTGAGAACCTCCAGAAAGCTGACACTTTCCTGCAAAGAACAGCCAAACTCTTTTTTTTTTCCATAGGTATGTTGGAGTTCTATTTCTTGAAGCAACTGAGGGCCTGTGAGAGTTGTTGATGGGGGGAAATGTGTAAGTGAATGATTGGGAGGCCTGTGGAGGTCAAGCAAGTGGCTCTTCTGGGGGACAATGGATGGAGGGTATTCTGTATCCATAGTTGTTCATCAACGCAAGATTCCAGGGTCAGTGTTACTAGGGATATTGTGTGGTGATTAGGTATCTACAGAAGTCAGGAACTAGAGCATTCTGTGGTGGTCATTCTGTAACAGCGTGACATCCATAGAAAGGGGAGGGTCCAGGTTCTCTGCCCCAGCCAAGGTGGAGCTGAGCATCTAGGAGAAGCTAGAAAAGGACTTGAAAAAAGGAAGAAGACTAGAAGGAGACATGAGAAGACACATGGAGCAGATACAGGTGAAGAAAAAGCCACACTTGCTTCTCAGCCTTGGATTTATACCAAGGACTTAGGGGATATGGAAGGGGACACTTGAAAAAGACAGAGATGTGGGTGAGGGAGGCTGACAATGGCAGCCTATATGTTGACTTGCATACTGATTTTCTTTTTCCTTCCAGACTTGCCTGGCCCCTTCTGCCCCTTTCCTATGAGTCCCCACCAGTAGGTGCCTGAGATTTGTGACAAGCTTTCAGGCCTCAGTGGCCCCACTTTGGGTCAACCCTGTTTGGCTGGGCATTTACCCATGAGGGGATGGATAACTTTGGGTATTAGAAACTATTTTAACTATATTCTTTCTCTTCCTCTCTGTTGCACACTAATTGTATTTAAGTTCTTTTCTATTGAAGTTCTTATGTACTAAGAGTATGTTTTATCTTGATGTGGTGGATGGCAGAACCCATTTAGAGCAGGCAGATTTTGGGATCCTGGGGTTCCCCCATTCTGCCTGCTAACAATTTATTAGGTGTATAGTGGGTCAGCAATTCACAACCCAGCAATGTCAATTATTGCATTCCTAGGAGATAGTTATTAAGTAATAGACTTTGTAACCCCTAAACATCTATAGCAACTTCTTTATTGTGGGAAACCATACTGTGTGGTGTAGGTTGTTTAGAATCATCCCTGGCCTCTATCCATTAGATGTAGGTAGCATCAACACTCTCTCATTATGAAGACTAAAAAGTGTCTCCAAACATTGCCAAATGTCCCTTGAGTCAGAGGGCAGAGGGCCAAAATTGTCTCTGGTTGAGAAGCACTGGTCTAGAGATAACGCCAGGAATCATACTGAATATCAATGATTTATACCACCTAATAATGCTAGAGAATCTCAGGTTGGATATACAAATGAAATACAGTTATTACAGTGCAAACATTCTAAAATGCGATAGAAAGTTGAAAATGATAAAAATAACAGTTTTTTGGTAAACATATCGGGTCTGCTGTGCAGGTTACCATTACCCTGAACATTCCAATTTGGGGAAGTGAGCAGATTTCCAGCAGTTGAAGGCCATGGAAACTCGGTTATAAATATGGATTAAGATAATGATGGAGTGTAGTTGTTTTCAGGAAGAGCGAGTGATTGGTGGGGAAGTGTGTAGTCTTAATCATGTTTTGTTTTTAGGGTGTCTGTGAAGAGGTTACTCCCTACCCCTGTGGACAGTCTTGATTTCGATTTGAGGCTTGGGGCTGCTGGCAGTTGAACTACTTTCTTCTACTATTTCTGCTTGTAGAAAAATTAAGCAGATTTCTGCTTCTGGCATGCTGGAGTGAGGAGGTTGACTAATCCTCTCCCCCCACAAAAAAAAAAAAACTCTGAAAGCTGGAAAAACTGTCACAACCACCATTTCCATACCCTGGAATTCGACCAAAGGAATACCACAGACTGAGAAGTGTTTAATTCATTGAAACTGCTCAATGCTGGCTAGGAGTGGCGCAGCTCAGCTCGTGGTGGTTTCCTCACCATGGCGCCCATCCCTCCTCCAGAGGCCAGGAAAACAAGTTTCACTGTGGCTGCTGGAGATGGCGAACATGATTTGGAGCATGGTCGGTGTAAGCGACCATCTCAGCAGCTAGCTAAGAGTGAGCCAGCAGTACCATTAGCTCGACCTACCCTACAACCTTTTGGAAGCAAACAATGGACCAGTCTGCCAGGAATTTAACATGGAGATCTGGGAGGCGAGCCATCCACAGGGACTTGATAAATTCTCCCCGTGTCGGGCAAACTGGAATCTTTGCCCATGTATAGTAGATATCAGACAGACCCAAACCACGCGCATCTCTCTGAATTACTGGGCCTATGTATGCAGCGTGGAAACGTGAGTGAGTCCAGTGAAGAAATAAAAGCCAGGGCAGACTGAGGTTTGAATGTGCTCTCTGGCAGTAGAACAAGTCAAACATGACTTGACATGTTTTTGCACGACCTCTGACCAATCTTTGGCCGAACACTAAACTCTAGAAAGCCTGCCTTAAATATAAATAACAAGAAAGAAATCTGAGCAGACATACTCGTGTCTGCACATTGCAGGGCAGACAAATTTCCAGATCTAGCTCAACTCTGAAACCTGGACAAAATGCACGGGCCAGCTGCTCAAGGGCTCTGAAAAATAGTCACAGGAGGACTGGGGAAGAACAGAGTTTGAAATACCACTGAAATGGTGGTGAGCTTACATGTCTTTTGTCCAGGATTCTTTCTGTACACAATTCCCCAATGGGGAGGAAGGATTTCTCCACACCAACAAGCACTGTCCTAACACCACCTGGGTTACTACCATTCCACTCAATGCCGACACTATCTGCCCAGAGGTAGCATCAGATCCTAAAGGATCTGAGCCCTTAAAGGGCTCAGTGCAATGAGACTGCCCCTTCCTCACGTGTCAGAAGTCAAACACAAGTCTAGATTGTCACCTGGGTTTCTGACCATCTGGCTGTAGATTGGAGGCTCCAACAACCCCTTCCTTGCATTTGATCAATTTGCTAGCATGTCTCACAGAACTCAGAAACATTTTACTCACTGGATTTGCTGTTTGTTATAAAAGAACATGATTTAGGAACAGCCAGTAGAAGAGATGTGTAGGAGGAAAGGGAACAGAAGGTCCATGCCCTCTCCTGAAGCACCACTCTCCCCAAATATCCAAGGGTTGTCCAACCTGCCAGGTCTCAGAACCCCAGTCTTTTTGGGGTTTTATAGAGGCTTCACTGCATAGAAGTGATTGATTAAATCATTGGCCATTGGTGCTGGAACTCAATCTCCAGCGCTCCTCCCCTCCTCAGAGGTAAGGGTTTGGGATCGAAAGTTCCAACCCTTTAATCACAACCCTTCTCCTGGCCACCAGCCCTCACCCTTAGGGAAGGTCTAAAGTCACTCATTAACATAACAATAGGCACCTTTATTGCTCTCTTCCCCTAGAAGATACCAAGGGTTTTAGGAACTCTGTGCCTAAAATGGGACAGAAGACCAAATATCTTTTTCTTATTATAAACCACAATACCACAATTCTCTAGCCTGCAGGTTGAGACTGAAAGTGAGCTCTGTGGTAAAAAGAGAGATCCAGGAGAAGCCCTTTAGCTTAGGCCTGAGGATAGGAAAGAGAACACCTAATTTTCAGAGGGACAGTAGAAGGTCCCCACTATTTTATCTTTATTTTCTCTGGTCTCCTGTGGCCAGGACCCTAAGCAATCTTTTTTTTTAAGATTTATTTTATCTATTTATGCATACAAGAGCTGGGGTGTAGGCCAGAGGTGCAGGGGAAGGGTGAGAGATTCACCAGAGACAGAGTGGGGAGCAGAACAGGCGGAGTGACTGAAATACACCGCTGAGGGGAGCAGCGGGAGGGACAGGAGAGGTCTGTTGCACCATGTGGGTTAGCTCCCTGGCTGGGGATCAAACTCATGCTGTAGTGGCTGGTGATAACTCCACAGTACTGAGACTTAACCCCTTGCACTACCAGGGAGGCCCCAAAGCAATCTTACAGTACCATTAGCTGTGGCCAAAGGAGACCCATAAGAGCCAAAACTCTGAGGAAGGGGAACCTTCCTTTCCAGCAGATGGAGCTGTGGTCCCTGGAGATTGAGGCCTGCCTAATTCCCTAGAGGGAAGAACTTGGTAAACAGACCCCATAAAATTGTTTATGAACTCCAAGGGCCAGTAAACTTTTTCCTGTAAGCGATCAGGCAGTAAATATTGTAGACCTTTTTTTGCACAGACCGTCTCCGCCATTATAGCAGGAAAGCTATGAACATAGGAAGCAATGAGTGTGGTTGGTTCCAATAAAACTTTATTTACAAAAAGGCAGCCAACTGGACTTCAGTTTGCTGACCTCTACTGCAGAGGAATGAAAACTTATGTCCTCACCAAAACCTGTACATGAATATTTACAGCAGCTCTATTCATAACTGCCCCAAACTGGAAACAACCCAAATTCCCTTCAGTAAGTGAATATATAAAAAAAACTATGATATAATCATAAAGTAGAATATACAAATTATGCTGAGTATTGATGCTCAGCAATAAAAAAGAAGGAAATGTTGACACATACATCAATGTGGATGAATCAAAGTATTATGCTGAGTGAAAGCAGTCAGACTCAAAAAGATGACATACTGTAACCTGAGCAAATTTTCCTGATGATTCCATTTATGTGACATTCTGGCAAAAATATAGGAATGAAGAAAAGATCGAACAGATCAAACAGACAAGTGGTTGCCAGGGGTTG